ATTCGCAAGTTGTCGATGGAAGTAAAACCGAGATTGAGATTGGATTGGAATTTAACCAATCGAAGCAAAAGCCACTAAACTTAAGATTGGTTTTCTTTCTTCTAGTTGGTTAAAATCCAATCTCAATCTCTAATTTGATCACGGCTTGCATTCAATGAAACGTTATTCTGATATATTCAGTGTAGAGATAACTTTTAAATATTTTTTTATACAGCCTTGGTTAAAAGTATTAAGTATCTCTACAAGTTGTGTAAACATTCTATATCCAAAGAAAAATAAATTGAAAAATAGTTTTATTATTAAATAATATTTATTTTTATAATATCAATAATTTTAGTCTTTTATTATCTTTTTATTCTATTATCCTTTTTTCAAAAAAATGTAATAAATTGAGAGCGTTTTGTATACTTGTAGCCAAGGCTGTATATTATTAAAAAGAATACATAACGAATAAAATATTATTACTTGTATTGTAATTTCTGTTTGTGTTTCTGTAAATTGTATGTTGATTTGTATTATGTGTTTCTTTTTTGTAACTATTCCGTATATTCCGGATAATCGAGAGTACACTGTAATGTGTAGGCAAAACCACGAAGAAGATGTGATATGTTTGGCCTTTATTTGCAATCAGGTATATAGGCTATCTAATATACATATTTTCAAGTAATTGTTCCTGTTTGTTACATTGCGTTTTAGTATTCGGCTAAATACAGAATATAAATATATATTCCGACGGTGACGTGAGTAAATTCGTAGCTGAGATACACAGGTGATATAAAGTCGCACATGAAATCGCGTATGTTGTGTATACGTATGTACGTGTTGCTACACAAAATTATATATAATAATATTTAATCTAGGAGGAGGTTTATTGTGCTTTTTTATGCACGGAATGCGATTCTACAAACACTTTAAAAAATGAGTGTGGATTTAACATCATGCGGTTTATATAATTCTCACCGTGTTGGTGTTTGTATAAAACAGATTTAAGGATATACCAGGTGTAGGTCTCTGCAAAAAGTGACTGGAATTGGAAATTTATACTTCCTGTATAAAAATGAATATTATAAACATATGAAACAGTTCAATAAGGACAGTATTTATATTTAAAAATACAATTTTATAGTTTAAATAAAATTTATCTCGTATTTATTATCTTAATTATTTTTTAAAAACGCTACTTATTGAAATAATTTTTAAACCAAATTCTAAATCGCCGCCAAACTTATTGAACACTTTCAAATACAATGTAAAAAAAAATTTGAAAATGTTTTCATAATTTTATTTTATTAAAAAAAAATACACGTAATACATCCTTAGAACCCATAGTATTAAATCTTCACATTTATAACAACACCAATACGATGAGAATTATATAAACATATGTTAAATCTATACCCATATTTTATAGTGAATGTTCTAGCGTTACGAAAATGAAATCTTCCCTTATAAAAAGTCTATCAATTTACACTCCTACATCATCGACAAGTTAAACAATTTGACGTGATTTTCCGTTAGGCTTTATATTCGATGGTATTATCATCAAAATAAATTTTCATGGAACGGCGTACTGAAGGGATAATAATTTAGTACGGCGTGTATGGCGTGCGAACACCCATAATAATTATATTCTGTGTATTGTAACTTACGTATACAAGATTAATATAATCACTTCCTAAGCTTATATACAAAATCGGGTATACAGTACAGACTATATAGGCTACGTAATAATTTAGTTGTAAATGCGTGTTATACCTCGCTATAATAAAATATAACTAAACTAGCAGGGCACTGGAAAAATGCATAGGAAATCGAAATCGCTTCCTAGCTCGATACAAATGCTTTTCCTCGATAATCAATCGGTGTATGTATGTGAAACCGCTTTCTCATTGTACGCTAAAAGTCAAAATAATTGCCATCGTCACGGTGTGAGGGTGTTCGTTTAGGCAGTGATCACGTCAGCCATAGCTCCTCATTGTTAGTGTAAATTTGTGCGTTGTTCTGGAGATAGAAGTCTACAACATGATGCGAATACCTCGAGTATTCTCGCTTAGACCTAAAGTCGTTAGTAGCAACACTGCTCGGTGCGTTCCTAAGATTACATTACGCGTTAGAGATCCTCCTCTTGCGCGGTTAGTTAAATTAATTAGCAAGTTGGAAAATCGTTATGAAAACCGTGCAAAAAGTTTCAGGATTTAGAAAGTAGCTACGCGGCGTTATTAAAAGGTGGAAGTTTGGTCCGGTCTCGTGCGTTAATTCGCGTGAACATTTATGTGGATTCTTGTACAACCAGATTCGCATTAATGAACACGGTATTACATATGGCGACTAATTTTAATCTTTAACTCGACATAAGTAACATTTATTAGAAATGTTCGTTCGAATTTGGAAAACGTTCTAATGCATACAATTTTCTGCTGCATCTACCTTACGGAAAGCGCGATAAAAATGGAAATCTTACAAGATCACCCAAACTGTAGGAAGACAATCATAAAGCAATTCGATCGTGTACGTTTTAGCACGCAAATTACAATGGCTGTGTATGTTCGATTAAAAGTTACGGAGTGATGTTTGTTCTTTTTGGCACAATCGATTGCGCCAAAAGTTGCGTCGATCGTCCTAGGTACATAATTGTGTCTTTGTCGCGTTTGTATCACTTTGCGAGCCTAAGTAAACACTAACTACAAAGTTAAATATAATTATTTATTGGTGTACGATCCATCTGATGTGTTCGAGGAAGTCATGTCGAAAGACTATTCTTAAATTCTAATTTCTGTATAACGACGCGAATATTAAAAAATTATCATGGCAACGAATCGAGATTAATAGGACGAAATACTTCGTCGGTCTTATGAAAGAAATGATCAAATTAATATATTTTTAATTACTTTTCTTATCACATTAAATAATTTGTGATGAATCAATTTAATAATAAGTACACATAGAGTGAAATATAAATATAAAAATGTAGAAAAATTTGTAAATCTGCGGTATCATTAAATGCGATTTCACATTTAAAAGTGAGATTTTTTTATAGTTATTTTTCAAAAATCGTTGCTTTTTTCTTATTTACTAAATATTAGTGAACTTTTTCGTAAGACCGACGACTCAGATTGCATATATAATGTGCACGTGTGATTTCTTTTCCTACGCTTCGAGTACGCTTTTCTCATCCTATGGTGTGTATCTACGCGGCGTATATTTATTTTAGTGATGCTGTTAGTTATTATTACTTACTGATTGATATATAGTAGGTCGACCGACATTATTCGAATTCATGTTCGCTCGCTGGATCGTTCGATCCTCGTATCTTGTGCTTCCCTGGCTTGCCATCGGTCGATTCAGAGTGCTGCAATCGTAGCTACATTTTAACGTAGAATCGAGTTGCCCGAGAGAAGAGAGTGAGGAGACTCCGCAGTAAATACCGCGAACTAAGTAAATTCACACGACAAAACGAATAAACCATAAACAAAAAATAAGCGGAGTCCCAGAAATCAAATTACCAGAAAATAATAAATTCATACTTGGAAAAAATAAATAAACTTAATTTAATGACGATAACATATTAATTCTAATATTTTCGATAAAGAATTGTAAATAAAATTTAGAGAAATAAAGTTTATTTATACAATTACAGAAAGATAGTCAACTTATAATAACGAAAAATTAATTTAAAATGTTATCCCACCGTCTATATTTGTAACTTAATGTAAGTTTCAATTATAAATACTAATTAAATTTGATAATTATGTTGTCATCTCGATATTTCAATTATCCATTATTACGGCAGCTATCCTATATATACCTAATTTTATTTATTCCATTATGGGCGATAATTACCTGTTAGCGTTGTTGGGTGAATTAGGCCCTGAATTCCTGGCGGCAACGGTTTTCGTGACGAAGTCTTGCTCCTTCCAACCGTGCTTCTTGTACACGTCTCGCAACTCTTGATGTTGCCACATAGTGAACAGTACTTGCCCTAAAAATACGCATAAATAGAATAATTTCTATGATATAATGGCTGATTCATTAAATGACTATTAACTTTAACGATGCATATTATCGGATGATTATTTAAATTCGATTTCGAAATATTACCTGCAAATTTAAGAACGCGCGGCGTGTATTTCTGGCGTTGCCTGGTGATGTTCATCAGTCTATCGACACCGCCGGCGTCGAGCAATGACCGCGAGAACTCGGCGTTCTTCTTGATGACCTCGTTTAGAGTCGCGAGCACCGCGGCAATCGTGTCGTCACTTGTGCCCTGATCGTGCTGATTATTTCCAGACGGCAGCTTCTGGATGAGATCCCTCATTGCATATTTGCCTATTAGCTCCTTATTGCGTTGGTCTATCGCCAAATTTCTGAGCGCGGTTGCGACCGCGCAGACTACTCGGTCCACCTAGTCACAGAAAATACGTTAATCTAATGTTTGAGGTCACAATATTAAATTTTACTCATTTCACAGAGTTATAAATATTAATCTTATCAATACGTATTAAATATACATATAACTAACTTAAGACATAAATATCAGAAACTAAAAGAAGATATTTTCTTGTTATTTACCGCAGTAAAATTAACAATGCATGTACTATCCATTAATAACTTTCTACAAACATTGGAATTTTTAAAGTATAGAACGTAAAGCATAAGATATAAAATTAGATATCAGAAATTGTTATATAAATATGAAATTAGAACAAGCGTCAGTTTGAGCAGTACTTCATACGACTAATGGAGAAAATAAGTAAAGTAATTAGATTAATATTGGATAATATTCCATTGAGGCAGTCCGAATATAATCTAACTAGTTTAATTAGATTATATTTAATTTATAATTTAGTTCAACATCTGCATTTTATAACCGCGTGGGCTCTCTTTGCGTGTTCGCTAAATTAAATGTTCGACATCATGTAATTACCTCCATTCTCAAGAGCTCCACTAATATAGGGAGACCTTTTTCCTTGCGTACGGCTGCGCGAATCTCGATGCTCGGCTGCCAGTAGCAAGCCGCAAGATTTTGCAGGGCTCCGGCAGCAGCCTCCAACGTTTCCGGATTCGAACACGTTTGCAGGAGACTAAGATACGATTGAACCACTTCCGGCTGCCAGAGCAATTCCATTCCCCTGACTGGTTCGGTCCGCGGGCTCGTCGTACGTGACGCGGTGGTCTCCTTTTGAACCGGCTGGCCATCCTTCTTCTTCTTGCTCCCGCCGAAGCAACCCAGATTCTCACCTAGAGCAGAATTACAGAGGATCCGTATTAATAAGCTATCAGGGATTACATTAGGAATATTACGAAACCAAAGAGGCAAATGTCACATTGAGTTTTGATCGGAATCAGATTGATTTGTGTCCAATTATCGAATCACTTTTTATAAGATTCCTTATTCCGCGATAGGTATTTGCAACAGCAAGTCGGTGAAACATCGAGCAACATTGAGCGATATCGAGAAAAGTGCGATTCGCGTATTCGTGTTTCTAAGGCGCCTGTTACACACTTCTAAATTTTCTAACTAACCTGCTAAAATTAAACGAGCCATTTTTCTACGTAATAAACGAAATTAGAAACGAAATTGTAAACCATATGCCAAACTTCGCAGCAAGCTCGCTGAATTTGTTCATTGTCGGTCAATTTTGTTTCGGAATTTTGGTCAATTTTGCAAATATATAGACAGTGTATACAGAAGTATAAATCATCGCTTAAAAACATAGCGGTTACAACATCAAATAAAAAGAAAAAAGAAATAATTATTTTTATAGGGAAAATATAAATTCATAACTCAATATATAATGTAACGTAGTCGGCTTACGATCTGGCAAGGCAAAGCATGCAATAACTATGTCTTCGAACGGAAACTAATTTACCAATGGAATTGCAAGAGGGGGCTTACCTTGACATAAACTGTATGCTAAAAAGATTGAAACACAGTTTAATCCATGCTGAGCTAGGATTCATAAAAAATCTGTGTGATTCGTCAACGGAATCTCAAAATGAACCGAAAGAAGGAAAAACTCTTTAAGTGTTCAACTAGGACATACGTATAATTAACTGTTGTCTAAAAAAAGAGAAACAGAGAGAGAGAGAGAGAGAGAGAGAAGGACAGAAAACTCAACCAATAGAGATAGAGATATACAAAGATATACGGGATCGTCGTCGTGTATATACATTTTGTTCCTCTACTTCAAAAGTGACATTCAAAAAATTAAGTTTTTTACAAAAGGGGTAAAACTATTTTTAACTTGAAACTTATCAAATAATATAGGCAAGAAAAATATATTCAAGAGTTATTTTCGTTTTACGATCTTTGAAAATCACCTTGTTTGAGTTGTAACATTTTATGTTTTACAAAATTATAACAGATCCAAAATCATTTGTGAAAAGTGACTTATCTTGAAATATCACCAACAGCTTATATTTATCAGCTAAAATGAACTTAAAATAAGAAATTTCTTCTTTAAACTTTGATTATCAAAATTGTCTTAACTCCAAATGTTCTCCGTAGAAGTTTTCTTTTTATTTACAAAAATGACAACTCAAATGTATCACTCTTATAGAAGATATTATGATCTCTTTAAAAACCTGAAGAACGACACAAGTTATTTGGCGGACGGACTGTGAAGTTCAGTTAGTTTACTTTGATGATTGATAGAGTAATCTTTACTCTTTAAAACTTTCAGAGTGAATCTCACTCTTCTGAAGAGTGAAATCTTACTTTTTAAAGATTGAAAATTGAACTGTTTTTCTAGTCGAGCTCATTTTTCACTCCTTAAAGTGAAATTCCACTCTAAAGAATGTAGATAATATCATCTACTTCATTCTTGATGATAACTCTAAAATTATTTTTTTTTTTAGTTGTGTCACATTTGAAGTAGGAGAACGGATTTCTGGACACACTGTATACATCCATCCGTCTCTTGAAACCAGTAAAAGGCAAATTAAATCGAAACCAAGGACAGTCTGGGATGAATTAATTGCGGAAGGAGATTGTGAGTACAGTTGTCTATCTACAGCAAATCATCTACCCTTAATTGCAACGTTTTGCTATCGCCACTTTTCTAAGTGCGTTATTTACGGTTTACGAAGCGATACAAATTTCGTCCTCGCGCTACCCCACCTCGGTAAACCGGCTCGGAAGTTTTAATCAAATTTAATACGCTACGTAAACTAACTATCTACAAACTACCGACTACGCGCCCGTAAAATATCAGCGGGCTTCGTGTCCGTGAAACGCGAGTGGGAGAATTAATGGTACAATTTCATTCGGGCCAATGTTACTTATTTCGAGTAAATGTAATCGTAAATATTTCTGCAACTCGCACGTAAATATTTCGGATGGTTTTCATGGAAAAAAAATCCGAACGTTCGCGCGACGATGCGATTTAAAAAATCGAATCAAACTCGACAGTGAAAAAATAAATATAAACGTGTGCTAAAATAAGAGATCTCGACGAATAGTTTTGTCTGAATTCAACGCGAGATAATTAACTGTTTTTAAAGGCCGACGTCGCGATAGTTTTGCACAATGGAAGAGTGTCTGCAACAGGGAAGCTGCATGTCCCCTCCGATCTAATTTCATGGTTGGTTTAAGGGGTGAATCATTTACCTCCTCTCTTCACTTGTCCCTCCCAATCTTTACACACACACAAACACACACACACACACACACACACACACACACACACACACACACACACACGCACGCACGCACGCTCTGACTGCAGCTACATGCATACCGAGGGAGACTCGTGCATGTTGCGGGAAAACATACTCGGTCCAAAAGCAACGCTCGAGATATCCCTCTATCTTCGCAATTTATTTTTCCCTGTAAAGTACACCATTAAGTACTACGTTGCACGGTTATCTATGCAAATTTATTGTACTTTTATTATAGAATAATTTCCCGATTGCACATTTGTCTTCGCGTCACTCTCGATACGAGGAACTTAGCGCGATTCAATTCTTCAAGAACTCATGAGAAAGTTACGTTTTATTAATTTAATGAATTTAATTTAATTAAACTTAATCTGACTGAAGGATAGAAAACCGCGTCTTGCGTTTCCCAATTTCCATTTTTGTAATAAAATTGAAATCTCTAATGCGGGATTTTTTACTATGTTTTTATGTGTTAATTAGTCGTGATAAAAAACAAAAAAAGTGAAAATAAATTAAAAATAAGGTACACCTAATAAATTAAACCTGTTTTTGTATATACGTAACAATTCTACTTTTATATCTTTCGATCAGATTAAAAGTGCAACTTAAATTTGAATTAAAGTTAGATTAATTCTCTCGTTTTTTTTTTTCTTTACTTCCTTCTCGAAAAGAAGGTAGTTTTTTCTTTACTTCCTTGTCGAAGAAGGTAGAGGAAAAAAAAGAAATATAGACTGCTGTCGCGCATCGACTCCTTCAAACAAGTTCCCCTACTGCACTTCCTGAGCTCACCTTTCGCGGGTGCGGTGACTCTGTTCTGCACCGTGGACTGGATCGGGTGCTTGTCGTAATTAGGGTCTTCCACTTCTTGACAACGGTAGCTCAGGTTTCTCAGGATGCACACGCAGTTCTCGACGATCTTGTTGCCGATGTTGGACTTTTCGATCGCGGAACGCACGACGTAGAGCAGCGCGTCCACCAGGCCCTCGCACTCGCGCAGATTCTTCCGCGCGTATTCGCCCGCGCTCGATACGTTCCTCAGCACGCCGGACGCGTTTCTGAACACGGTGGACCAGCAAGTTTCGCCGCTCGACGAGCTCGGGTCCCAGCCGCTGTGAGGTATTATTATGTTGCTCACCACCATCGTCACGCCATCGTCGATGATCGACCTCTTCAGATCCTGAAATCGCGTGTTAAAAGTTAGCAGAAGTCAGAAGAACTGTTAAGATTTCAAAAGAGTAATAGTAACCCAATTTCTTGAGAGTTATAAACAATGTTTTATTATTTTTAACTTCCATAATATATGTTAAAATGTAAATCAATCCATTTCTATGATTAAATTGCTTAGTTCCAAAGTAAACAACGTCCATGTTAATGTAATAATTTAGTAAATGATAAACTAAATTTAGGTCAAACTGAATACATTTCTTGAATTAAACTGTTGAATTTTATTATTTTAATTAAATGAACGACATATTGGGTAGAAATAGTGGCGACCTATAGGAATGATTAAAAATAATTCGAATTATACAGGTATAATTTGACAGTGAAAAAATGATAATTTTACTTATTGAACTTTCAACATTCTATATCAGAAATAGGGCCTTTGAAGTTTGAAATGATACATGAACTTTTCTTCATAAAATGACTTAAAAAATCAACTTCAAAACAAATAGAGGAGCACGAAAAGCTTCTTTTTGTTTCTAATTTTCCTAATCGCGCGGTGAAAGGACACACTTCGAGGGACCACTCACTTCGCACGAGGACAAGTTCCACAGCACTCCCGTGACAAGCTCCTTGACTTCCGCATCGGACGTCCGTCGCAGCAGGTTGATCAAGGACGGCACGCCGCCCGCATTCTTGATCGCGCGCTTGTTCTCGTCATTCTGTCGTCCATACGACAGATTCCGCAGCGCACCGCACGCGTTCCTGTACACGTCTGGATTGTCGTGGTCCAGCAGCTGTACCAGCGGCGGTATGCCACCAAGGCTACGCGTCTTCTGCTTATTTGGGTCATCCATATAGCAAAGGTGTTGCAGATACGCGGCCGCGTTCGCCTTGATTATATTGTTGGGGTTGCTCAGGAAGCCGATCACTTCGGAGAGATTCGGGTCCCGCCAGCGCATGGACTTTTGCTCGTCGTCGAGTGGGCTCGCCATACCGGGCACCACCGGATGACGCGACTGCAGCCGTTGGAGGTGCACCTCGTCCTCGAAGATGCCGGGTGGCACGGCCGACGTGAGGGGCACTCCCGGGTGGCCTTCTTCGTAGCCGGGCACGTCGCTCGGCACTGGTCCGACTCCCACGGCGGGAACGTATCCCACAGGACCGTACGGCGACGGCGACACGTAGCCATAGGCCACTTTACTCTCATCTGCAACGGAAAAGGCCATCGATTACTAATCTTGATTACCATCTAATATCGTTTTTATCGAAGTTGCCATCCAAGGGGAGTCTCACGAATGCGCATAATTCACTTACGTTTATCTATAGCGATAACTGCTTATCTTCGCACTTCGAGATTCGAAGATATTAATGTCATCCAAGAGATACACATGTTGCTTTGAAAAACAACATATCGTATAAATTATTGGACATACTATTGGACGTAATACGAATATCGTTAATCATTCATATCCAAAACTTTTAGTTGCTTGTGACAATTATTAATTTTAATTGCAATTTATGACAATTATTAATTTTAATTGCAATGTATACTTTCTATTTCACGAATATATTAGTGTTCCATTTAATTTCGAAACGAAACGGACATTGAAAAAAAGAAGCAATGTGGTTTCGAATTAAATTCAGGGAAAATTATATCACGGGTCAGAATTAAAATATAATTTTGTCGTGGCAGATTAAATTAAGTCTCTTGTACGTGCAACGTCTATCCGACTTTACGTAACGATCACGGAAAAAAGATAACATCATTTTTCAATCACATTTAATAGGAAATGGATAGCTTTAAAGATACATTACAACTCGAAATTATCAAAAATATAAAAATTTCATAGATTCTATTATTATGTCTGAGTAAAATCCGAGCACAATTCTCTTATTGGTTTAAAAGTTATTTAATTTTTTTGCTTGCCTTGGATCTTATGTAAAATCGGGTGCAGTACTTATTTGCAAATTTGATGAGGAAATAGCATTAGGAATTCAATCAAATTTTTCATGTATACTAATAAAACTAATAAATATTCTTGGAAAAGTTCATTTGAATCCACTTACTCGTTTAAAAGTTATTTACCTAACTCTGCAGCAAAGTATGGTAATTGCACTGCAAAAGCCATTAAAAACTAAATAATTAATTTGTTTTGTTTTTTGCAGTTGGTCTCAAGAGATATTTATGAAAAAATCTTTTTACTGATATTGGCTTCTTTAGCTATTTTTAGCTGGTAATGTATAGTCAAAATATTCAAGTATCATTTTATCCTTTTTTTATTCCCGGAATGTTAAGGATAAAATGGTATTTAATATGATAAATTTAACAGTGTAGTACCACTTACATTGGTAACTATGCTGTTAAATTCATAATGTCAAATTATACCAATTTGAGTTGTTTTTAATTATTTCTATAGGTCACCACTACTCCTACTCAATATGTTATTAATTTAATTAAAACAATGACGTTAAACAATTTAATTGAAGAAATTGTATTGGACTTTGACCCAAATTTAGTTTATTATTTACTCAGTGCGTTAATAATATTTACTTTCAAACTACAGAAGTAAATTGATTTTAATTTATATGGAAGTTAAAAATAACAAAATGTCATTTAACTCAAGGGGATTGGGTTATTACTGTTTTTTTTTTAATATCTAATAATGTAGAAAGCATTCGGGAATCCAAACGTAGTCTTTAATAAGTCACATAAAGTCACAAACGAAAGTTCAAGAGGAGGGAATATTAATCCGCGTTTCGATATTAAAGAAGTCGTTTAACAGATGGAAGAGGAAAAGGAGACCGGAGGGACACAAGTTAGATAAATGGTGGATGTGACCTCCACCATGAAGATGTTGAGAGGGCTCGCCGGAGCCATCCATATTCCGCGTGCTGCCGATTCGATCTCGAGCGAACGTGGAGTAACGTTCGGGAGATAATCGAAGTGAATTATGCGGTATCCTCGTAGTACGAGGGAGTTTTTTTCCACGTGACACGATCTGATCGCGGTCGTGCGAACGCCCGGGTGAACGGCGCGCTAAAATCGAATTTGCCAGCCGCCCTGGCGAACACGAGACCTCCTCGGATCGCACTTGTTGCAGTCTGGTCCACCTACCATACTGATCCCCGGGACCACCTGGACTTGGAGTAATGCGATAATGGTCCTGCAAAGCGGGGTTTAAGCCGGGGTCGATGTCGTTATAGCTACCCTCTACGTAGGGTGCACCCTTGCGCATGTACTCTGCGGAAAACAGATCACGTGTTTATGTTGTTATCGAAGATTCACTTGGTGCGCCGTCTCTCCCTCGAGACGTCGGAGAAATAAGATAACGTCTTCGAAACACGTTACATTTAATAATCTCTCTCGGCGCGGAGGAAAAGTTTTGCTTAGAAATTATCATTTATTTTTGTAATACTAATGATAATTTCAAACTTTTAGATTACCTTATTTACAAGAGGTAGACAAAATAATGTGAAAATACCTCTGGAAAGTATTTGTTTCATTAACATAATAGGTCGACCTATCATTTCTCTTGAATACTAACTTTATTTCTGTTAAAAGATAATGCTCAAATAATTCAATGTAATGTTATGTCATTCTTCTAAGAACATCTTCCAATTGTTTAAAAGACGTTGGAGGAAGAAATTTGTTTCTTATTCTACTCTCCAAAGCTCATAATGTTAATAATGATGTTCGGTGATGTTTAAATCAGGTGATTGCGCTGACTAAGAAAAATGTTGAAATTTTGAAGAACAGACGAATCTTGAAAAAATAAAGTGATTTTAAAGTGTGTTTAAAGGCGAATGAGGACAAGCAAGTAATGTGTACTTCCAAGGTGTTCATATTATTTTATCCATCCCCTGTATGAATAAACTTTGAAAAAATATATATGTGTATATTCCTTATTGAATAGAATATTAAATTAAATTTAGTATACATCAAAAAAGTTTTGTTGATGTGTGACCAACCACAACTTTTTTGTTGTCCTAACCAAAACTTTGATTAGAATAACTAAATTTTTGGTTAGGACAACAAAGTTTTTGTTTAGTAACATATTCTAACAAAAACTTTGCTGTCCTAACGTAAAAGTTGGATATTTTAACCAAAGTTTTAACAAAAAAGTTGAGGTTGTCACATATCAACAAGATTTTTTTCTGAATGCAGCCTTAGCCAAGAGTACAAAACACAAATTGATCAACGTTAATGTATATTATAGTATAATATCACTTGCAAATTTTAAATTTGTAGATCTTTTATATATGTATAATATATATACATATGTATAAACTTATATTGTACATTACAATAAATTATATATTAAATTCAATTTAATATTTCATCCAAGTTTATATACTTACATAAATTTATACGTATAAAAATTTGTTGGATATATTTCACGAACTAAAAATTTAAACTTGACAAGTGGCATTACATTACGGTAAATAATACATTCGTTCAATTCTCTCATGGATAAATTTGTCACTGACAGTGCTTGTTTACGCTGTTTACGACAGCTGAAAGTGATCAGATCGGAGAGTGAGAAGAGATGAGCGATAGTTACGTACCGTGTGGCGGCGAAGCACGACTGTGTTCCGACGGGCTGTGGGGGCTGTGGGGTGAATGCGAGCGCGGCATGTAGATGCCATGGGGTCCCGGGTATCCTGGCTGCGGCGGGTAGCCCAGGTACGGGTCGTAATGGTCGAAGCTGACCATGTACGGGTCCGCGGGGTAGCGCGGGTCCGCGTGCTGATAGTCTTGCGACATTAACGGCACCGACATGTAACTGACCGCGCCCGGATCCGGCTCCATGTGGGAAACCTCGCGCACGACTTTCGTCACAGTCGTCACCTGAAGGAAGGAAGCGCGCCGTCACACAAATCTCGTTCCTCTCTTTTTTCGCGCGTGTTCACTCAACGGGATTTTCGCCGCGCGGCATGTACGCTAATACCCGCGTTCGCGCGTTGTACGTAATGCGATTATATCGACATCGACGGCGGGATTAGATTTTCGAAATGGAGCGCGACAAAAGTCCCGGTGATTTCAGATAAAATTAACCGAGCAAATTCACTTTTTTTTTTTTAATCAGATGTACGTTTAAGAATAAAAGATTAGAGACGGATATCAGTGTGATCGAACAAAAAAATCTCTCTCGACAAATATGTTTGTAACATGAATACGATAAATAAAATGCTATGCAAAGTATAACGTATATCAGGATTGCCACAAAATTAAAAATCAGGAAAATTGTCAGAGAAATGGAAACGGTCGGGAAAGTTGGAGAATTTTATAAAATTTTCTGGAAAAAATAAAAATTCTTGACTTTAAAGAAGTTCAACTTAGGTACAGCACACCTAACAGGTTTGTAATACTACCAACTTAATAATTAAAAAAACAACACGGAGAGAATTTTTCGTTATTTTTTACCGCAAAATTCATTATAAATTTCATCATGTTTGGTAATAAGCTTGGGAGAACTTGACAATAATGAAATATTATCAGTAACGATAGATTTTTTGAAATATACAAGAGACCTTTTATAAATGATGTAGTAAAAATTATAATGCAGATTGTAAAATGTTTTGAAGTGCGTAAGTTCTAGCGTAGCTAGAGACACCCTCGACAACGAAAATAACCGATAAATATCGATTACAGTCGATCAATTACTATGTTACATGGTAAAATTATAAGCGACTAAATC